CCAGGTGCGGGGTTGGGACTGTGGGCTGGAAGGGCGGGGTCCGGCCTCGGAGCGCAGGGGCCGTGAAGGGGTTAATGAGCGGGGTTTGCGGGAACGTGGGGACGGAGTGGAGGTGTAGGCATCTCCCCGGCCCCGGACTCTGCCCAGAACCTCCCCTTTCTCTGGGGTCGGGCCGAATAGGCGCGCTTGGGGGCGTTGGCTGCCGTAGAGGGCGTGGGGGACAAGGCAATCCCCGCGCGGTGCCCCCTAGGGAACCCCTGTCTGGGTGAAAGGCGATAGCAACGCCCCCTGCCCCCACCTGCATCCCAAGCCCCTCTGGGGCTCGTAGGAGAGATAGGAGGGGCGTTGGGGCTCGCTGCACCCCCTCCCTGACAGCTCTCGAGGACCCCTCCCCCCACTGGTGCCAGGTCCCCGCAGTGGGGCCAAGTGAGGGTGGGCTTTGTGTGGGTTGGGCATGCGTGCCTGGAGGACCTGGGGTGGGCATCCTGCCTGTCCCATGCCCACCCCAGCTGCCCTGGTGATGTCCACGATGCCGCAGGCTGTACACACGTTTCCTTGCACGTGCACGTGTCTCCGTGGGCTGTACGCTTGCACACCTCGTGTGCACACGCCTGCCAAGGCTGCCCCGCTGTCTGTGCACATGCTCAACACTGTGGGCACACACACGGACTCTGGGGGTGCACATCTATGTTCTCGCCCCCGCCTGCACGCCTACGGCCACACACGCATGCACATAGCTTGCCTGCTGCGATCCCCATGCTTGGCACATGCTTGGCCCTGTAGCGGGAACGCTCCCACACTGCGTACTCATGTTTGGTGAGGGGAGGCTCTAGGCAGCTGGGCCCCACCGAGAGAGCGCAAGACCCCTGTCCGCACCTCTGTCTGTCCTGGGAGTCTCCCCTTCGCACTCTCTTGGGCCAGTGTGTGCATGTGTGTGCCTGTGTAATAAGGCATGTGACTGCACGTGTGTGTGTGTGTGTGTGTGTGTGTGTGTGCATGACCATGTGTGCCAGTGAGCACATCCCCATGTGCCCCGTGTGCGGACTGTAGCCAAATCTGGAGCAGAAGCCCTTGGAACATGTGCTGGGGGCTTGCTCTGGACCCCCAGCCCAGGCTATGCGGTGTAGGGTCTCCCAGCCACTCTCCCAACCGCCAGTGCTGGAGCCCATGGGTGGCTTGGAATTCACCTGGTCAGAGAAGCCCCATTTCACATCTCGAGGTCAAAACTGTGACAGTCAGGCCAGACCCTGGACACACTCAGCTGCCGCCGCAGCTCAGCCGACCAGGGCAGCTGACCTGACATGACCTCATCCAGGCCCTGTCTTCAGCACCTCAGTTTCTCTGTGATGCACACCTTCTAGTGAGGGGTCCATGGTGGTCTCACTTGGCTCTGAGTTGTGTGTGGTGCTGGGGACTGGTAAAAGTGCTGGTGACCCACTCACACGGGCAAGGAGGGCCCTGAGCTCAGAGGCGGGGCCCCACCCATGGCCTGTGCCCCCAGCTATCTCTGGTGTCCTCTTCAGTAGAAAGAGGACAAGTAAGTCACCCTGGAGGTCGTGTGGAGGTGAACGTGCTAAGGGAGGGATGGGCAGCAGGGCTGGCCACTCCCATTTACTAAGCCTCAGCCTTCCCATCTGCAAAGTGAACACTGTCCCCATGCTTTCCCAGCAGAGGTGAGAAAGAACAGTGTTCCCAGGCCACAGCCTTGGCTGGGTGGTGGTCAGCACCCCGACTCCTCCTGGCAGAGGGGAGCTCGCCGGCCTGGGCATGGCGTGACCTGGATTTTAGTCCAGGCTTAACCACCCATCGGCAGTGTGCCTCGCTGTGCCTCGGTCTTCCTCACCTGTGACTTGAGCCAGAAATCTGAGGTTGTGAGGCATATCAAAGGCTGACCCCCAGTGGGGTTGGCCCACTTTTCCCATGGAGTTCTGACCCTGATGCTTCTGCCTTCAACATGTCCAAAATACCTCCCCTCAGTTAGGAGAGAACCTCCTGGGACCCCATACCTCCAACCACCAGCTGGGTCCCTTCCTCCTCTGCGTTCACAGATGGGGCAGTAAAATCCCACAGAGGCTGCAGGTGAGTGGGGGGTCACAGGGGAGGTGGTGGGCTGGGAGGAAGAGAATGAACTGCCCAGCTGTGGCAGGGGCACCAGCGGCCTACAGAACCCTGGGCCCTGGTTTTCCTATGCTGGGGATCCTTCCTGGCCCTCTTGTAGTCGCACAGTGAAAGGCAGGGGAGAGAGCCCAGGGGGAGTCTGGCCCAGTGGGAATCAACAAATAGGAAAGCTTAGTGGGGCTCTGGAAGGTCGGGGAAGGTCTTGCTGTCCTGGAAGGCTGGAGGCCGGCATGCAGCCTGTGGAAGGGTCTGTGATTTGTTGCATGTGACAAGATGTCTGTGAGGGACAGGGCTCGTGGGGCTCGTCTCCCCCATGCTGTCCGGGGCCTGGCCCCATCCTCCCTCTGCTGTCTGTGGATGGCCCAGTCCCCACCTTGCTGCCCACTTTGGCCTTGTATTCTAGGCCTTGTAGGGTGAATAGCTGTGGCAGCCAGTACAGCACCAGGAGGGTGCAGCTAGTGAGGCCTGGACAGGAGAGGAGGCAGAGGGA